AATGTAAACGAACAACACCTAAATGAAATAAATCAGATTGGTGGCATGACAATTGTCTTAAAAGGTGACTTCTGACAAATCTGACCAGTTATTCCCATAAGAACAAAGGAAGATATAATAAATGCAACTATAAATAACTCTTATTTATGGCCATATTTCAAAATTTTAAAGTTAACAGAAAACATGAGATTAAACAATACAACTATACAGAACAAGATAAAAAAGAAATTGTAACATTTTCGAAATGGATATTAAACGTTGGAGATGGCACTGCTGAAGGAATAAAAGATTCAGAAATTGAAGACGCTACATGGATAAAAATACCAGAAAAATACATACTACATTATGATTCAAATCCAATTGAAAAAATTTCAACTTTAATATATAATTATTTAAATATTTACTTTAGCAATATTGAATACTAAAAAGATTGAGCAATCATAACACCAAAAAATAAAACAACTAATTAAATTAATAATTACATATTATTCTTAATTCCTGGACAAGAAAATCTTATTATAGTTACGACACTATTGCAACCTCATCCAAAAACATAGACGAACTTAATCTTTTATATCCTCAAGAATTTTTGCACACTCTTAACTTTAATGGAATACACCACATGAATTAAAGCTTAATTTAGGAACACCTATAATGTTATTACAAAATCTAAATCAATCAAATGGATTATGCAATGGAACAAGACTTATTATTACACAATTAACAAATAAAATTATAGAAGGACAAATCATAAGCTCAAGCAACATTAATGAAAAAGTCTATATCCCAAGAATAGATATGATTGTACATGAATCTAAATGGCTATTTACACTAAAAAGACGACAATTTCCTATTAAAATTTGCTATGCAATGACAATAAATAAAAGTTAAGGACAATCTTTGAATAAAATAAGATTATATCTAGATAGCAAAATTTTTACCCACGGACAACTATATGTTGTTTTATCAAGAGCTACAACTCTAAAAGGATTGCATATACTAATTCATGATTCAATTAATAAATATCCAAATTATATACAAAATATTGTTTACAAAGAAATTCTACATAATATCAAATAAAGAAATAAAATATCATATAAAAGTACAAATATTATAATAAATTAAATATTAGATTCATAATCGTTTTTTATAATCAAAATTGCTACACTATTCATCTATCAAAAACATATCGAATAAAGCTTCCTATCTTTATGCAATAAAATAATTACCTTTTTTTGCCAACAGTTAGCCAAAATGACGACATTAATTCGAGCCCTAAAACCAAATGAAGTTTATGAAACTATCAGGGCTAGAATCTGCAGATTATGGACGAATAATGATCTGAGCACTGGGCGTTTGATCAGTCTTGATTGTGTTTTAGTCGACGAAGATGTAATATTTTTTAACAAATACAATATTCTATTATTTTTCATTTAATACCAAATATTATAAATCTAATAACAATACTACCTTTTATATCTGCAGCATGAAGCAATTCAAGCATTAATTCGGGCACGAGATTCAGATACTATTTACCAAAAAATTCAATTAGGCCACTAAGAACAAATCAACATACAAAATTGTGCCACATATTGTAATGCTACAGTTTGCCCGCGCAACAGTCTTCGTTCCAGTTACAGAACAAGCACTGCCTATTCCATTTCATAGATTTTACTTCATCAAATTCGATCAGCTTCAGCATAGAATTCAGTCAACTAAAATCCTAAGTGGTAAGATAAAATTACTTGTTCCAAAAAAAAAAAAGAATATCATCAATGTATTAATTAACGTCTTTAACGTTTACTATTTATTTTCGAACATATGTCATCGGTGTTCTTACAAGAGTGCAAACAATTGAACAAACAAATATCAACGATAGACAAACATCTCGACAGACTATAATGATACAAAATATAAGGTAAATTAACTTTTCACAGTCATTACCACAATCATACAAAAAAATTTATATTTAATAAAAGTATAAAAGTTTTACATCATTTAAAACTCTTCATTCTAACTTTTTTATTTTACCCTTTTTTTCTCACAGAAACGAATAGCTTCAAGTCACATTATGGGGACATAAAGCAAATCAATTTGACGAAAATGTCATTAAATCAATGAAAGGACCAGTAGTTGTGGTTTTTGCAGCAATGTTGATGAAACAATATCTAGGTATTTTTTTAACAACTTATAAAAATAATAACATATATTTACATCTAATACACCAAAATATTAACCAATTTATTGTTTACGTTTAAGGCAATGTATATGTATCAAGTACTGCAGTAACAATCTTCTATCTTGATCCAGGCATAACAGAAACACAAACATTAAAAACAAGGTAAGAAACAAATCCTCAAACTTTAAAAACAACAAACTTTATGCAAATTTTTTCATAATAATAATTATATATATATAGATTCTCTCAGCAACCTTAAGAAATTGACTTCTCAATAGCATCAACAGTACCAACACAATCTATTGAAGAGCAAAAAACACTGAATAGGAGAACAATTGATGAACTAGAGACATTGGATCAGGAAAACAACCAAGTTAGTATCATAATATTTCATCTATTTCTTTTCCTCTAATTACACTATTTAAGCTAAAAATCTTTCCACATGTATATAGGGCACTAAATTCACAATAAAGGCAACTATAAGTAAATTCTCAGCAAATGAAGGTCGGTATTATAATTCCTGCCCTAGGTGCTATTGACAGCTAAAACAGGTAGGAACCAATTGGTGGTGCGATAGCCATGGACACATAAAGACAACACCATCTCCATGGTAACTAAAACTATAAATATACTATAATCAAAATTTATTTACTTTGCTTAGCAAAAATAAATAGTTTATAACCTAAATGATCTATTATCTTATAAATTACAGGTATAGACTAAACACATATATTGAGGATCATATTAGAAACATGGATATTATCATATTTGGCAGGGCAGCACAAGCCTTGATAATAAAAAAAAAACCATACTCAACATTAACAATTGACGAAGGATTTACGGACCCATTCATAATCCCACCAATCATCAACCAACTAAGAGGTGAAACAAAGATCTTCCAAATATATTTTCAAGGAAAATGACCTCAAAGTACTACAATTGTCTCAAAAATATTTGAAGAAACAGCATTGATAATAGCACCACCACAAATACCAACACCTGCAACATCAACTACAAGGTAAAACATATTTACTCATCTTTATTAATTATATATAAAAAATATATTTCTTACTTTAAATACATATTTAAACAATATTTTACAAGCTTAGCCCCTGCTCAAGAACAACAACATTAATAGATCCACATACACTAGATCCAAAAAAATTAACCACCAGGTAATACATATTTATTAGTTTACATTATTTATAAATAAAAAACAATACTTATAACTTTAAATACATAATTTATTAACCTTTTATTATTATAGTTTCAAGGGCAAAGAAATAAAACAGCCAAGAAAACGTCCACGAACCAGGTAACGTAACTACTTCTAAATCCTACTATTTTCAATTTTTTCAATAACTAATACTAATATCTTTTAAAATTTATATTTTACAGTTGAAAAAAAACAAAGGAACCACAACAGCAAAGAAGAAGAAAGAGTTATATATATATTGTAAATAACTTTATATGACAATATGTTATATATATATATATATATTGTAAATAACCTCATATAACAATATGTTATATATATATATATATATTTATTGTAAATAACTTCATATAACAATGCCCTATATATATATATTCATGTATAAATATACAAAAATAATCTATTTCTATTGTATATAAATTATTAATTTTTTAAGATACAAAATTATCTCCTACTATAATGCGCGCAAATGCGCACGTCCATAGCTAGTTATATTTAAAGGTTTCTGTTGAGGTTATTTTTTATGGTGTAAACATAATTAGTATTAGTGTTATGTTTTAAAATATTTTTTTCCAGCAGAAATATATTATTGAAATTAACTCTTTTTCATTCATATTCCACTAGAGAGGTAAGAACGGGTCGACCCGGCCCGTTATACTTAGGCCCACGCGGGTTGAGCTGGCCCAACCCATAAAATTTGTGGGCCGGACCGTATAAGAATTACCTCGGCCCAGTCTACATCATGGGTCAATTTTATGTGGACCAGACTGGGCCGTGCTACATGCCTTGAATGGGCTGGCCTATTTAAGGCCTATCTTGGCCCATCATGGGTTTAGATCACATGTAATTTTTAATTTTTATTTTGGAATTTTTAAACAAGTTAACAAATATTAAATTTTGAATAGTCAACGTAAATATGAAAAATGATATTTTATTTACGATTGTCTCATTAAAAGCCTTTACAAGGAAAACTCACTGGGACAAAACCTTAGTAAGGAAAAAATAGTACAATCAGAATAATTATACATAAGATGTTTACAAAATTACTTAAAAAAGAAAAAAAACATAAAAAAGAAAATATTGTTCATAATTACAAAGTATTACTCCCAATGAGAGTATCAGTGGGAATATCAGAATTGTCTAAATTTTTAAAGTCATCAACCCAATCATCTTAAACTTGTTGGCTTCCCCCATTGTGAGCCTATATGGGCCTTACACGGGTCAGCCCAGCCTAGCCCAAGCCCGGCCAAGTCCATGATTTTTTATGGGCCGTGCCGTGTCAGTCCATAGGCCGATATATGTTGACCCAGTCTAGCCCATCAATATTAATGAGTTGGACCGAGCCTTAGGCCGGCCCACGCGCCCCGGTACATTATTGCATCTCTATATTACACTCCTAAAGCCACTTGTCTGTGGTTCAAATGAGTTAGCCACTTGATGTGTGATGTGGACGTTCATTTTTACCAAAATATGTGCTTTCCTCAACTGCACATGTTCTCCTGTAGGTTGCTTGGAAGACAGTGGTCACAGAAGAATTTTCACAATTGAGAAGAAATTTTTTTTCCAGTGTTTGTTCTTTGTGCGATCAGGATCCGCCAACCATAATGAATCATAAAAACTCTCTTCTTATATTATCTTTAAAAGGAACCAAAAAAACAGTATCCAATCCTAGAAAAAAGTTTCTTAAAGCAAGCAAAAGAAACAGGACAACAAGGGCTTATTATTCCGATAGCAAGCACCATCATCAATGTCTCCCATTCTCCTGCCTTGCTTCTGCGGATTCTCTGCCGTTTTCAGCATCGGTTTCGCCTGATAAATCCTCCAAAGACTTTCCCTTAGACTCAGGCACCAAGAAAGTAAACATCATACCAAGAAAGTTGATGACCCCAAGAATTATGAGAGTGTTCCTCACGCCAATCCCTTGCTCGGAATACTGAAACCCGAAGGCGCCAACAATTGCGCCGGCTTTGCCTGATGCAGCTGATATGCCGTGACATGTTGACCTCAGCCTCGCTGGGAAGATCTCCGCCGGCACGACGAAAGTGGTGGTATTGGGGCCAAAGTTTGCGAAGAAGAAGGTGAGCGAGTATATGACGACGAAGCCAATCCGGTGCGCGGAAAGAGTCCAGTGGTGGTAAGGAATGGCTAGTGCAAACATGAAGACTGTCATGAAGAAGAATCCCATTAATTGGATTGCAAATCTCCCCATCTTGTCAATTAGCGCAACGGTGAACCAATAACCAGGGACCGTGCTGCAAAGGGCAATAAGTGTTTGAGCTCTCGCGATTTTGAAGACCTCTTCAAGTGCACTCATTTCTTTGGCCTTAGGAATCCAACCAATTGCACTGAAAATGTCCTTTTGAAACAGATTTTGGCTGTAGAATGCAATGTCCAACAAGAACCAAGTGCTTGTTGTCCCAAGCAAGTGAAGTCCATGCCTCTTGAGAAACTGTTTTGTAAACAACCCGAAATTGTTGTCACCCTTGGCAAGTTCGTCGACCCTCTCTTGCTCCGCGGTGACCTCAACATTCAAGACTTTCGACATGTCGGCCGCAGCCTGCGTCGCGTTCTTCGCAACCAACGCAGTGTACCGTGCAGTCTCGGGCATCCTCATACGCCAATAGTAAGTGAGCAAAGCCGGGAGGGCGCCGAACATGACAATTATACGCCAGACATAGTCCGCCTCAGGCCCAATCGAGGCTGCAGGATTAACAACATAGGCTGGAGCAGGGAACTTTGTCTTGAAGGCCGCCGAGACAATGATTGCCACCATCCCACCAGCTAGAATCCCGAACCCTTGCATTGCAAAAACCGCAGCGATGAACGCGCCACGAGTTTTTTTGTTGGCGTACTCGGACATGATGGTGGCCGAGAGAGGGTAGTCACCGCCAATGCCGAAGCCAAGCCAGAACCTGAAGAAGCAAAGAGTGGCCATGACTGACTTGGGGTCCGTCCCAAAGGAAAGGCCAGAGGCAACCGAGCAGATTACCATGAGCATGAGGGTCATGCCGTAGGCTCGCTTTCGCCCCATCTTGTCGCCGAGCCAGCCGAAGAAGAGCTGACCTGAGAGGGTCCCACAGAAAGCAACGCCATTAACGGCGACCGAGACATTTGAAGGAAGCTTTCCCGGGTCGGTAGAGCCCGGCTCTTGGTAGTACAAACGGCCTAGGAGTTTTGTGACGAGTGATATGCAAAAGAGGTCGTATGCGTCTGTAAAGAATCCCATTCCAGCAATCACAATGGCCGTAAAATGGTACCATTGTGTCTTGGCCACATCAAGCGCGTTAAGCACTTGCAATTGCTCCTTTGCCATATCACTCCCCGAGAACCCCCCTTCAACAGTGTTCTCTTGAAAACTTCAAAAAGAAAATCAAAATCGTTAGATTCTAGAAAGTGAACTCGGACGTTGACTCGGCCGAGTTGGTATATTTTTGTGCTTGTGTGACAGTAATTGTGGAAAAAGACAAGAGAAGATCAGCTCAGTGGGAAGATGACAAAAAAAGAGGCAAAATTTTCCATGCCAAGCCAAAACACACAGGACCATTTTGTGACTCACACTAACGAGGAAACGACAAGGCAAAGACAATGAAGTGTGGGAAAACGACTATTGACTCTTTGAGTACAGGAACAGGCAGTCTTGTGTCAATAAAGTGATAAACTTTCTTTTTCTTTTTTCTTCTCTTTTTTCTTTTGGTACGATGAAAAATTAATACGTGGCTGAGATCAGGGAACAGAATAAACAGATGTCTTTTTTTTTTCTTTCATATTTTAGAGATGATTTTTATAGATATTAGTTTATAATTTCTTGGCTATAAAAAGTTAGTAACTTAGTATAAAGTCATGAATGAAAAAGACAAGAACAGCAGTTATGGGAGAACAAAATAAATAAGCAATGAATAATTGAGACACTTGTGGGTCAAACTGCAAAATTTTGATCCTTGTTAGACCTGCAACTACACCTACTTGTTTTCCAAAGCTCTTAAAAAGACCGTAAAAAAAGAAATAATAATTTAAAGACCAAGAAAATAATGAATAAGGTAAGGAGGTAATAAAGACATAAAACAAAAAATCTTTGTCTATCTACGTAAAGAAACAACAGAAGAATGTAGAAGCAAAGGATTTTCAACTTATTAGTAAAGCAAAAGATCAACACTACATTCCTTCGCTTGTTGATGATAATCATAGAGAAATAAGAAAAAATTGACACCCCAAATAAACAAATAAGTTAAATATACGCATATATATATATATATATATATATATAAGCTTAACCTATTGAAATTGAAAATGAAAGAACGTAATTTCAAAACTTACACTATTATGGGAAAAGGAAAGAAAGAAAGAAAAAGAACTGAGTACAAGTTTAAGGCAAATTTTCTTTTTATTTGATTCCGATTCTTTATATATCAAAAAGGTAAAAGAAGGGAATATTCTGGAAGAATAGAATTTTTGTGAATTTAAACAGAAATACTAGTTTCTTCAGGAATCACTGTGAGTTCCTAACGATCCACAAAAAAAGAGAAAAATCACGATATTCACGGAACCACAGCTAATGAAAACGTCATATCTTTATTTATTTTTTACATTTTATATTTTCTTTTTATATTCATCATTATCATTGTAAATTTATACATCATTATCGTTCTATTATTGCGAAGAATAGATGAACAAAGAAGTGCAGAATCAGAAAGGTCAGAAAAATTGCAAAAGGAAAAAAAATGATGGACAAAGAAAAACACGGTTTTAAAATTGTTTTTCAAGTAGATTAGAGCCATTATTATTATAGCACCAAGCTGAAAAAAAGGTTCGAGCAAAAAAAAAAAAAAGCAAAAAAAAAAAAAAGCAAAAAAAAAAAAAAGCAAAGAAAGAAAAGCAAGAACATATTTTCTGCTAATCTCTTAAGAAAAGATATAAAAATATCCATGGCTGGAAAAAAATGAAGCTTTCGATAATAATATTCAACTTCTTCCAAAAATTTATTAGTGAATAAAATAAAAATAGAACCAAGAAAAGAAAAAAAAACAGAGGATATATGTGTGTGTATATATATATATATATATCATTTCAACAAAGCAAACAATCAATCACAAAAACACCACGATCATCAAACGACAGAAACCTTCAAAGGGTGGCATCAACTTGAGCCAGTGAACGACAACAAGCCATGTGAAATGCAAGAATCAGAAAGAAACGAAAAAAGAAAAAAAGAGTGAAGAACTGAAACCAATCACTCATATTCATCATGTCATATAAAAAAGAATGCAAAAACAGGGGAGAGAGAGAGAAGAGAGACGTACGGTGTTGAATGAGATTGTCGTTTAACGCTCAGGTAGTTAGTTTCATATAATTTTAGAGAGAGAGAGAGAGAGAGAGAGAGAGAGAGGAAATGAAGAATGGAAATGAGAGGAGAAGGATGGGGGTGGAGTAGTGAAATGGAGGGAGGGTTGGTTCCGTATTTAAGTGCAACGGCCTCTCTAAAATTCTGATATTATTGTCAATAAAAAAAAAAAAAAATTATTTGGATTTGGAATCTCTCTTAAACGAAGCATATCCTCTCCTACGCCCCAGGTTCTAGTTCTACTCACACTTTACCTCTTCCTTTCCGAGACTTTTACTCCTTAATCCTAGTTAGTCAATATTTAACCTCCTTAGTTTTTTTTTTTTTTTTTTTTTTTAATAATGTTTTATTGTAGAAATATCTGCGGCTGAAAAAAAAATCTTCCTTAATTTAAAATTTTCATTTTTTCTTTGCGTTAAAAACTGTTATGTAGTGGTGTCAAAATGGACTTAGCTTAGTAGGCAGACATTGGTTAACCATTTAAGGAAAGTTAATAGGATTGAAGAGGAAAGTAAAGTAATAAGAATGAGAATGTTGAATCCTTTCTAGTGTTTAATACTCTATTTGATGATGTACTGAGCAACAATCTGATTCCCTTTCTAGTGTTGACTAACCTTAGGAATAGCAATGCTACAAATGTAATTAACTAAAACGTATGTAATTAAATGGTTATGGGCTCATTACATGTGAACTTAACAAGGGTGTGTACCCTTCCATAAGGAATCAATACTAAAGGGATTGCAAGGACTAGTATTCCCCTTTTTCATTCTCTATATTGGGTATTCCTAATTTGTAAGTAAACACATGATTAAAGGAGAAAGGGAATCACTACTATTCCCTTTCCCTTTCATGTGAAGTAAACACACCCCTAAATTAATAACAAACAGAAGACAGTGGATGCGGGACATTGGAAAAACTCCAGCACATCTCACTTCGGACAATGTAAAAATAAAATAAAGGACATGCCAAGGGAAGTTTGATTAGTGGATCTGAACAATTTTACCAGGTCAAGCAATTCCCAGCCAAACCGAATGTACGGAACACTTCTTATTGTTATATTCCCTCTTCTAAACTATAAAACCAAACAAAAGAGAGCTTGCATCAGTAATATCACTATCTCTACTACTACCGCCGCCACCACCACCATAGAACCAAACAAAAGAGAGCTTGTACTATTATTATTATAGTTATTATTACCTAAACCTTCTCATTTCCTTCTCTCCTTTTCCAACTTTTTCTGTAAGTAAATATCGCGTTGAAGCGATATCTTTCCATAGGCAAGATATGATTTTAGAGAAATTTCCAGCAGCTATTCAGGCCTCTCCGAGGATGGTCTTGTGCAATTCCAATCCTTTTGTAATGCATCAAGAAAACATTAAACTACTATTTGAGAACCCTAAACTATCAAAGTTGGGAATGTATCAAATCTAGGTAACTACTACCATGTAAACGAGCAGAATTCAAAATGCGCCGAAAGAACAAGAAGCGAATTTCACAGAGAGATAGAGAGAGAAACAAAGTAAATTCACCTTTGGAAACGTATTGGATTTCGCCAGGAGGAGAGTTGAGGAGGAACCATTTCGCAATCTCCTTCTTCCGCGTCTCGCTTAGCTCTGCTTCTTCTTCGTCCGCCATCTCTCTCTCTCTCTCTCGCCAGGAGGAGAGTTGAGGAGGAACCATTTCGCAATCTCCTTCTTCCGCGTCTTGCTTAGCTCTGCTTCTTCTTCGTCCGCCATCTCTCTCTCTCTCTCTCTCTCTCTCTCTTGTCTCTCCCTCTCTCTTCTGTAATTCGAATGGAAGTGAACACTCGGGGAAGAGGGATCTAGAGCGAGAGAGAATTTTTGACGGTGGTGGGTGCGTTTCGAATTTTTAGTGAGTGTAAAATGTTTTTCTCACAAAAAATTTGTTCTTTTTTTGTTACCAAATATTTGATAGTAAACATTTCATTGCTAAACATTATTTTGGTAGATGAAAGTATATTTTTTCTACTAAATTTTAATTTAACACTAGAAAGACATATATTTAAAAATTAAAAAAATATATTTTAATGATAAAAATTATTTTAGACTCATTGTTTTAGTAATATTATAAGAAAAAAATATAGTTTTAAAGTTTAAATACATTATTCTATGTTAAAAAATAATTAAATAGTAAGATTATATACTACTTTATGTAGAACATATACTTAATTAACAAGATCATATATATATAACTGAACATGTCTCTTGTTACACTTATACAAAATAACTAAATTATCAAATACTTATTATACAAAATATACTAGGATAATTGTTAAACTTAATTTAAGACAAATTTATGAAAAACTAGAACAATAAAAATAAAAGCACAAAATATAAGTTTTAAAGTTTTTATACGATTTGCTACCAAACACAATTTTTGGTAGCAAAGAACGCCTTTTCGTCACCAAAATATGAATTTAGTAGCAGAATCAAGTTTTATGCTACCAAAATTTGGTACCAGAAAAATTATATTTTTTTGTTACCAAACATTATTTTAGTAGTCGAAATCATATTTTTTGCTACTAAATTTTAATTTGGTACCAGAAAGACATTAAAAATTAAAAAAAAAACATTTTAATGAAAAAAATTATTTTAGACTCATTATTCTAGTAACATTATAACAAAAAATATAATTTTAAAGTTGAAATACATTATTCTATGTTAAAAAGTAATCAAATAGTAAGATCGTATACTATGGGCAACATATACTTAATTAACAAGATTATATATATATATATATATATATATAACATGAACATGTCTCTTGCTACACCTATACAAAACAATTAAATTATCAAATACTTATAATACAAAATATACTAGGATGATTGTAAAACTTAATATAAGACGTATTCATGGAAAACTAAAAAAAAATAATACATGCACAAAATATAAGTTTTAAAGTTTTTATATGATTTGCTACCAAACACAACTTTTGGTAGTAAAAAACGCATTTTTACCATCAAAATATGAATTTGGTAGTAGAATCATGTTTTCAGCTACCAAAATTTGGTACTAGAAAATTATGTTTTTGTTACCAAACATTATTTTGGTAGCCAAAAGCCTATTTTTTACTACTAAATTTGAATTTGGTACCAGAAAGACATCTATTAAAAATTTAAAAAAACATTTTAAAATTATTTTAAAATAATTGTTCTCATAACATTATCATTTTTACCATCAAAATATGAATTTGGTAGTAGAATCATGTTTTCAGCTACCAAAATTTGGTACTAGAAAATTATGTTTTTGTTACCAAACATTATTTTGGTAGCCAAAAGCCTATTTTTTACTACTAAATTTGAATTTGGTACCACAATTTTAGACTCATTATTCTAGTAACATTATAACAAAAAATATAGTTTTGAAATTGAAATACGTTATTCAAAGTTAAAAATCAATGAAATAGTAAGATTATATACTATTCTATGTGGAACATATACTTAATTAACAATATCACATATATATATATATACACATGAACATGTCTTTTATTACACCTACATAAAATAACTAAATTATTAAATAATTGTTATACAAAATATACTAGGATGATTGTTAAAACTTAATATAGGACACATTAATGGAAAGCTAAAAAAAAAAAAAACAATACAAGCACAAAATATAAGTTTTAATATATGATTTGCTACCAAACACAACTTTTGGTAGCAAAAAACATCTTTTTGCCACCAAAATATGAATTTGGTAGCAAAATCTTATTTTCTGCTACCAAAATTTGGTAGCAAAAAATTATGTTTTTTGATAGCAAAAACTTGATTTTTCACTACCAAATTTGAATGGTAGATAGTTATATTTTGTTTCTAACACTTAGTAGCAAATGTTATATATTTTGCTACCCAAAATAATTTGGTAGCAAATACCTCGGGCGGGAAAAAATTTTGCTTCCCGTCAACATTTTGTTACCAAAATATGTGGTAGCAAAAAAGTAATATTTCGCTACTAAACTTTGATGGCATAATCTTATACTTTTGTTATCAAATATTGTTTTGGTAGCAAAAAACTATTGGCGGGAACCAATTTTCATTTCCCGTCATGTTATTTGTTACCTAATTATATTTGTAACGGATTGTGTAGTTTTTGCTATTAGATTTGGTAATAAAAAGTTTGTTTTTTACTACCAAAATTTTTTTAGTATAAAAAAGTTTGATCTCTTAAAGTGATTATTCTTGTAGTGGTTCCATACACTAAAAGGTAGACACGATACGACTCCATTGTTAAGTCCCTGTGAGAATTTAAATGAAATTAACAATGCTTCTCAGTCTCTTTCTCATCCTCAATTAAGCACTTGAGAATATGAAAATTGCGCAAAAGGGAAAAAAAATGAAAATACATGTTCTATCTACTACATCTCAATGTATTTACGTACCAAATCTATTATTACAGATCATAACGGTATATTCCTCCACATATCCGATGCACTTATCAAAAATCTAATACAAATTACTGATATACTAAACTAGATTATTAATTACTAAGAAAGGAGAAAATTTTAGTTAAAGCACAAACATAATTTCTAATGGAATGCCATCAGTAGCAAAAGAAAAGGAGGATTGATGGCATGAATCAGCTGCTATTGAATCGTAGTAGCTAACCATAGTTCATGATTTTGAATCGTGAGATTTTAGACGAATTTTCATACTCTTTAAATTTTGAATGATTATAATTAATAGCAAAATCAACTTTTCAAGCTCGAGTACAGTATTTTTTTTTAAATATAATGATTGTTTTTTCGCTTGTATCATAGTTTATAGCCCTATGAATTATGAGACATTTCATACAGAATATTGAAATATATTATAAGATCCATTGGTTATTTTTTTCCCGCTCAAATAGTTGCTTCACGTAAAACTTTGAGGACAAATTAACATTAAAAAAATCAAGAAATCAAGAAATAAATTAAGGACAAAGGGAAAAAGACTGAATAAATCCCCGATTATTTCTTTCACGGCAGACCCATACCCATACCCTTATTAATGTGCCCTGTGACAAAGGATGTTGTGTGCATGTGCATGTACCATGCACAAATTAACTTGGCTAATTTTGCCTTCTCCGGTAGTAGCAAGCACCTATCTAATAATTCTTGTAATCATATAAAAATGGCAAAAATTATGTTCAACAATCAAGGGGCAAACTATTCTTTTTTACTAAAAAAAAATATGTCAGATCCACATAAAATTTTATCAGTTTTGCAAAAAAAAATTTTTTAATATAATTTTAATAAAATGTAACATTTTTATATGGACTCTGGAAACCTCAGTTCTAAATGAATATAGAGCACTAGTAATATTAAACACCACTTACTAATAAATGTAATATTAAACACCACTTACTAATAAAGTACTATTAAACACCACATACTAATAAATAATGAGTACTTCTACAATATGAGACCTACAGATGAGTTCACTTAATTTCTATCAACGGTGATGCTTCGAATCGGTGACGTCACTAAACACTTTTATAAATTAAATTAAGAGCGGTTCTATTCACACACCCATAATTTTTACTCTCCACACCTTCTTTTATCTTAAATTTTCTTATAACAAAAAGACCCTCACAATCAATGACAAAAAGGGATAATTGTAGCATATTTAATTATGTAATTAAATTTAATTTTAAAAAGAAACTAATTATATAGTTTTTATATCTCTCCACACACTCCACATGTTATATCCAAAATTATAAACTTTCACTATTTTAAATTTTTTTTGTTATTGGTCGTATGACGATTTTTATTTTGTCTTTTTTCATTTCATGTTTATATTTTTTACTTTTTTAAGGACTAATCATTTTGTTTTGTTTTTTAATTTTTTTATAAGTTTGATTGATTTTTTCCCGTTTTATCCTCTATTTTATTTTATTTTTGAGAAAAGACTTCACACCCAAATCTTCAAAAGGAAAAGATATGAATGATAAAGAAATAATATTATTTAAATAATAAATTAAAATAAAATTGTGGGTGTGAAAAGAAAATTAAAGTGGATAAGAATCAATTATTTTTATAAAAATAGTTCAGGATAATTAGAAATGATAGAGATGTGTAAAAAATAAATTTAATTCTTTTAAATTTTTGTGAGTGCGTATAAAGAGAACTCAACATAGAATACTGCGGTTTCACGCTGGAGGGGAAGATGTTCAAGTGTCAACCATTTTGCGGTTTCACGCTGCGATTTATCGTCAGATGCTATAGTATATGCCATGAGAATCTGTACCTTCCTGATCATCATGATCTCCCTAAACTTAATTAGCTTTGTCATTCTTATTCTATATTCTATATGCCCTTCGTGTGCTTATTATTATTATTATATATATATATATATGTATATATAATTTTTTTTTTAAAAGTGCTTATATATAACCTAATGTGGATGTACTCGAGTAATCTCATTTTCTAGGGTCGCAATTCAATATTGAAGAATCAAACTCTCGGTTTGTTTTATGTTCTTTTTCTTCACTCTCTTTACTCTATCGTTTCTGTTGTTTTTATTCTTTATTTGATTTTCAAACCACTAAAGAGGTTCAACAATTTACTAGAACTTTCAATGGAAATCGTATATAACTTAATGTTGTTGGCACAATAATGAATTAGTTCCATTTTGTAGGGCTAGAATTCGTTGCCCAAGTAAATGAATAACCATGTCAACTCCTTCTCCACAAAGAGTTCACTGCGCATGAATGCCTCATGCCTCCCTGCTGTGTTATAACTAAAGTATATTAAACAAAACAAGTTACATCATCAAATAATTATTAGTACTCATTTTTCATTCTTAAAAAAATAACCACTCTTTTTGCAATACTTTAGTTATTTCTAGAATATA